GTATAACAAGGTTTGGCTTTTTGCTGTCGGTTAGCAATGTAACGATTGCCTGTGTACTGCTAGTAATCTGTTTCTCAGAATTAGGGCTGTGTGGCAGTAATGGAGAAAATTCCGGCAGCTTGCTCCATGGATTGGAGTATTCAGCTTGAGAAAAACCTCCGATCCCGAAAACCAGGTGATTCTACACAAATAACACTTCACTTGATTTTTATTTTATTTTTTTTGATCATTTTTCTGTATGCTGTATATGTATATTTGATATATTAGTTGCTGTGATTGTTGGTCAGGTAAATCTATTGCAGCCCTTGAAGAAATCGGCAGGCAGCTCGAGTGGTGGAACACCGGCTCAGAGCTAACGTTTGTGGAGTACAGAATGTTCGGCTTAATCAAGGGTGAGGATAAGCTGTTCCTTAATGCGATTTTTTTGCGTCTGGCGGATGCATTTAGGGTAGGGGATAAGCAGATTAAGAGTGGCGTTGTTAAGCTTTTCTTGAGAATGAAGAGGAGGATGAGAAGAGATGGGGGAGGTATTTTTAAAAAGGTTAAATTGGAGAATTACTTGGAATTGTTGAGCAGAGTGAAGGAAGTGTTTGATAAAGGGGATGTTGAAGAAAGAGCACTGGCTTTGTTGCTGTTTGGTTGCTGGGCTTCTTTCGCGAATGATTGTGCAGATATACGTTACATCGTGCTGTCAAGTTTGGTGTCTAGTGATGTTCTTGAGGTAAGGTTATGAAACACCAGTTCTTTCTTAAAGAATTTAAATATATAATCAGTGAACTCTGGATGCAGCGTATACTTCCTGTTTTGTCCATTTCATGTATTAAAAGAAAAACTGTTATTTATTTGTTATTTTTAGATAGTTTTGCTTAAGTTTACTTTCTGGAATATATAAACAAGGACATATTTTAGAAAAGGAAATAGTTTGAGAGAAAGAAAACTTTTTCGCTCATCCCATGCATATATAGAGATGTATGGGCAAAGTATTAGATATATTATCATTACATGCATGACATATATCGACAAATCAGATCCAAATTATGATAGCTAGTGTCTGAAAAGTTTAAGTAGATAGTAAATAAGAAGTAATTTCATACATATTGTCCAGATATGTTTCGATACAAGAAGTCAAGAACAATAGAAATGATTACTATTAGAAATATAATGCTTGAACTATGTTGCTTTAATCTGATCATGTTTGAGGGTTCGTCCTGCAATATGTGAAGACATATGTCAGTTAATTTCATACATGTTGTCCAAATATGTCTGTGTTTGCTTTGTGAATACTTTACCGTGTGATTGTGTGTCTAAGCAGGAGTGCATGAGCTTTTGCTGGTGATCAGATAAACAGGAAGACGATAACCTGAAAATGGAAGGAAAAAAGAAAAAAATATAAGAAAAGTAACATGAAAAGAAATAAATATAATAAAAACTGAAAAAAAGGACATGTGAAAACCAGTATCTGATTTTTTTTTGGTATTTGCAGATAAATAAATAAAAAATATGAACAGGAGTGCATGAGCTTTTGCGCGTTATCAGATAAACATGAAGAAGATAACCTGAAAAGTAAGGAAAAAGAAAAAAATATAAGAAAAGTAACATGAAAAGAAATAAATGGAACAAAACTGTTTGTGCTCTGCACGTACTGATTAGTAACTTGACCAAAATTTGATCCCATTTAGCTCTCACTTTTTTTTTGTCTAATCTTCTGTAACTGTTCGCAGGTAAAGGCTGCTTTGTTTGCTGCAGGATGCTTGTCTGAACTGTCAGAAGATTTTGCCAATGTTTTCTTAGAGATGCTTAAGACAATGGTTTTATCACGGGATATTACAAAGGCCGTAAAGTTAGCTGGAGGGAGAGCATTTGCCAAAATGTGGCGTCCATTTTCGCTTGCAGATAAGGCACATAAGGTTCAACATCTTTCCACATCTCTATAAATACAAAAGGCTAGAGTAGGCAGTCCTTCTCCATATGCCATGACATGAAACTTTCTCACAAGGAATTACAGCATAATGAGGCCATTAAGCTAGTCTTTTAAAATAGAAAAGTTATTATACGAGAGAAATATGGAATCTAACATGGAGCCATTAAATTTCATTTTCTTAACAATTATTGTAAATAAAGTGCCTTGCGCAAGATGCAACAATATGATGATTGAATTATGTTCACATTGTTCTATATGCTATGTTGCAATTCTTTGATTATACTTGTTATAGACAGGTTTAAAGCTTCTAATGGATTCTTCAGAAGATGACTTCTCAGCTGTGATGCTGATATCACTTTCCAGAATTGCTTCTAGGTGGATGCTTCTAATCCCTAGTCAGGTGCCTATTTACCTTATTGATCTTGCTGATTTAAAACCATTGTTTGCTTTTATAACTTATGATACCTAGATGGCAAAATTAGGCAAGTTACTCCCTCACACCTGAGAGATGAAACCTCAAGTTTAAGTAAGGAAAGGACAACACATTGACATCCCAGATTAAGTAAAAGTAAAGAAATATAATTATGTTTGAAGATATATGCTGGAGTAATAAGTTTTTTTTGGATACTGAAAATAGTGGAGATTCATATCTTGGCAGGATTTTGTAAACTTGATTGTATTATCCTTCCTTCAATTAATGTCATTGTTTAATAAACTACTAACAGATCACAATTATGATTGTCATGGTTGGAGTCTTGGAAATGCGAAAAACTAGAATTTGTCAGATGTAGAAAGTTGAAATCTAGCTACCCCTTGAGATAAATTTGCTGTAGACTATACTGACTTATGGTACAGATATAACTTCTTCTTTTTTGCTTGTTTCATTGCAATATATTTTTGCTTGATTTTCGCATTTACTTTCTTACTTTTGGGTGTAGATAGAAATGCTTACATTTTTTCAAAGTGATGAGAGATCTGTGCACGTGCAAGCCACATCATTAAGATGCCACCGCTTCATATTATCAAGAGGAGATTGTAATTTTCCTTCAACTACAGGCACAATGGACAAGTTATTTGGCATACTGTACAGATCTCAACTTCAGCCAACACTGCATCTTGAAGCTTTGCGAATCTTGAATGAGGTGCTTCCATGCTTGCATTACTGAATTACGACCTCGTTGTTTTTCATAGATTTTCTCACATTATGGCATTTTGCAGATCCTTCTATTCAAGTTATCAATCATTCCTTGCATGGAGATTCCTGAGCTTTTTATCAAGCTATCGGCAGTTGTAAAAAATATTCTGCAATCATCTACACCGTCAACCAGACTTTTAGCTGTTAGTGTTCTAGCAGATATTTCTGCAAAGATTTTGGGAAGATTAGATATGGCATCAGGTGGAACGGGTCGGACCCTGGCGTTACAGGTCATCTCTTTTGTTTTAGATCAAATCCTTTCGCTGGTTACACCAAAAGTAGATATTTATCAGGCGGATAGTGCTGTAGAGCTTGAGGTCAAAAGATTGCTCGACATTTTATTTAACCTGGTTGACAATCATTTGTACCTTCAATGCCTAATGTTGAATAATATATGCTTATTTATAGATAGACTGATGAAGATGCTGAACAAAGTAATGGAGACAGAGAAAACTGATTCCTCAAATCATGAGACTGCAGAGTTTGGTAGCCATGGTAAACCGCTGTTATCAAATCTCATGCTCTATGTGTCAAAAATTATGGTTGCTTGTTTGCTAAACCTTGAAGAAGTTGATGCTGAAACCAGCCAAATTTTGGATGCACTGAAACTTCAAGTAGAAAATGTATGCAACTGCAATTATTTTGGTAGCTACACCGGCATTAGATACTTTCTTTTCTTGCACTTGCTTTCCACCTTTAGCTGCATGCGGCATACGGCAGAGGAATTGATAATACCAAGTAGAAACACGAGTCTGTCTTTTGTTAATTCCATACTCCAGCTTGATAAATTTACTTTGGATTACACCAAGAAGATGTTAGAAGGAAACAGTTACTGGTACTCCTATAAGGCTGGAAAAACTGCCGCCTGTCAAGGGGCATGGTCTACAGCAGCTTTCATATTTAAACAACTTATTACAGTGGTTCAATCTAATTCCTGCTCTTTCTGGGTAAAATCTTTGGCTATGTTCTCAAACTCCGAGGAGCAGATTCAGTTGTTTCTTTTATCCGATGAAGGCATGTCTATTGTCCCTTCTGAAAGTAATATAGGTGAAAGGGGATGCACTTCAGCCTTCAGGACCAACTATTGCAATTACATCAAGAATCTTCTCAGAGCTTCCAATACACTTCAGGACGAGATTCTTGCAGCCTTTGATATGGGCCATACGTTCAGCTTCCAAAGATGGTTTTTGACCTTCAGGGCTAAGGTTTTGAGTACTGTTGTTGACATGTTGAAGTTACTGGATAAAATTTTATTTATTCAAGATGGCACTGGGTCTGGCGGACAACCAGAGGGAGGTATTCTGCTTCGACACACTTCTTTGCAGACACTCGATCCCTTAATTTTCTCTTCTATGGAAGTCTCATGCCGGATGATGAAATTAGCTCGAGAAATGGATCTACTCTCAGCATCTTCTATGGGAATGGACCGACAAAGTGGGATGAATGTTTCAGCACTTGCATTGAGTTGCTCACTTATGGCTTTTACTGCTGGTTTTGGTTTTCCAGTTCCAAACTTGCATTCCTTAGAAAATTATAGAAAATTTGGAAATTCAGACGGGCCTTTACATGCCTTGCTTATAGAAGATTTAGTCGGGCGAGTGAGGCCTATAGACTGCGAAACTAGGAAAAATCTCCTACTTCTTCTGAAGTCCATCCCCAACTACAAGGGCTATTTTTCGCCGAGATTTCGAAATGAAGGTTCCTATGCTTCTCATGAGGCAATAGTCTTGCACAAGCTTTGTACGTATTCTGTTGGAGAGATTTTTAGCTTGCAAAATGAGGCAACCAGGTTACATCAAGATGGCGATGCAGGATCTCAAATTCTAAATCGTGGTCCGCTACTGCTGTTGAACGTTATCTCAAAAGTGATGTTGATTCCTTTCCGCACTCCTCATCACTTCTTTCGAGTAAGGTAAAATGAATAACAAATATTTTTTTTAATTGATTATGGAGACTAGAAAAACCATGCCTTCAACTTTTCGAGGTTGTCGTTCATGCTTTAAACATTCAATTTAGTCTCCGTTCTCATATACTGTGTGTACTATGATTATTTTGAATACTGACAGTCAAATACACCTTCAGGCCTTCTCTCTCCTCTGAGCTATTTGTGACGAACGAAGATGGTCAACTCGTACACGGACTGTCCATTTCACCAGGGTCCCATCTCTCTCTCAATTTGTGTCTTCAATTAAAAAACATGCCAGCTGGCATGCCAGGTCCTCTGAAAAAAGTGTACTGCATTCTTGATTGTACGGTACAACATTCTCAGTCATCAACTGTAATTAGACAGTGTAAAGGGCAAGAAGCACAATCGACTAAAATCGATGATATGATGGAGTTGAACGAAAAGCTGTTGAGATATGTCGTCGGCCCTACGGAGGCCCATGGATTGCATTGTAGAGCTCGGGCCAATGATTCTTGTTCGGTGGTAAATGAATATGTGTGTTTCGAACATAATGACCGTGGTCAAGGTTTCACTTCGTGCTTGCTCGATGTTTCTTCTTTTCCAATTGGCTCTTACAGAATCAAATGGCATAGTGGTTTTGTGGATAGTGGAGGTTCGTATTGGAGCCTGCTTAATGCAAATGATGGGCCGTTGTTCACTGTTCGCGGAGTGGAAACTGTCTGAATTTCGTGATGTCAAAGGATTGTCAGCTGATGCAGTTTTGGTAGTGTGATGTACAAGGAACTTTTTGACATTACATATTTCTGGTATATAGTTAATTAGAGAGGGGAAAACAAAACATATTATCCTTTGATATATCTATCAAGGTTTGGTTTGGATGGTAAAATTAGTCATGATTAATTAAATAATTTAACCTTGTTTAATGTTTGGTCGGTCCAAAAACTTTTCTGGTCGACGTGCAATTAGGAAAAAAATTAGCTCTAATCTTGAGCTCTCACAAGATTACGTAATTGTATCTTTTATAATCTTATCTTGACGACCAAACGAGGTCCAAGATAATATAATTCGTGCTCTCTTATCTTTCATGCATTTAAATTAAACCCTTTTTCATTACAGTGGAAAAAAATGTAAAATCAATGTGAAGTTAATAGATCGATTCATACATATAATATGATTATGAACGAGAACGACATGTAACTGTTAAAAAAATCATTCGGGCGCGAAAAAAAAAAATTTTCCTTCTCCTTTCGC